GTAGCCTTCTTTGCTACTAACAGCTATTTAGTGACCAGACTATATAAAGCACGTTTCCTTGTTCCAGCAAAGTCGTTCGTCCCTGTTCATTGCACTCCTCCGCTAGAATGCTTGTCTAATCGCTGTGAAAGTAGAGTGGCAAAGTCAATGACCAAAGGTCTCGGGTCCGAATCTCGAGGATTCCAACCCTGGAGATTGGGTGTGACTGGCTGATGACGGCTAACAAGCCAGAAATAGCCATTCTGGTCTCCCATTGCTTTGTCAGATCTATTCCATCCTATCCTCATAGTCACTATGTGACTGCCTACGCGGGTTCTGATTGTGACCTCCAGGGTGAAGCGAAACTTAATTGTTGACCGGCGAAGTCCATACACCCACTGCTCAGAATTTTTCAATGCATGCGCGTGATGAAGTTTGGCCGACTACCAGCAGCAGAGCGTTCTTGAACAACACACACACAAACAGAGAGAAGCACAAAAGACTACCTTGGGGCAGGTGACACCGTTCTGTTGCATGAGAATCATCGCCTGCGCGATCAGGGCACCCTGGCGGACAAAGTGCATGGTCCCATCGAGGAGGTTATCCAGCAGACTGATGGCCTCCTTGTTGGCCGTGCCGGCGCAGGCAATGCCCACAGCCATGGCGGCACCGTAACGCAAGTGGGGGTGATAGGACTCGGCCAGGAGGGACACCAGAGAGGGCACTTGTTCGCTTTCTCTGTGGAGAAGGGGGATAACAAAGGTTAACGTGGAGATCAGGTGGAAGAAAGCAGCAAGAAATTGCATGCAAAAAAGAAAAACCAGAATTTGTGTTTACTTGAACATGACAAAGCCGAGCGCGGTCAGGGCCCATCGACGAACATCATCGTTGTTGTCACTGACAGCAGCGTGCAACAGCCGCCTGACAGCAACGTTGCTGTTTGTACCACAGTAGGCCATAGCAATTGTAGCCATCCCACACCAACGCAGAATGGGATCTGTGTCCTGATGAGACAAAAGAAGATGGATGCAATAAAAAATGCTCAAAGTTAAGGCAGTCTTGAAATGGCTGGTACAAGCACGGCACCCGATTATACCTGACAGTTCGGAATGGAAATATCTAGCTGAGCTACCAATATAAGTGAACATTCGAGTCGTAGGAAGTAGCGATTGAATCTTTCTCTTCTCAATCTAGCTGGGTTCCTGCCTTGGAATATTGTGGGGCTCAGGTTGTCTGCTTAGTTGGCATGGAAATTTTGATTGGAAATAAGAGGGAGGATTCCGGAAAACAAAGGAATACATGGTATTTTAAAATCTTCAAAGAATGGTTGTACCGAGGTATGTAATTGGAGAAATAACTGGCGATGATTAAGATGCGCCGGTGCCTAAAAGTGGACGCCAGTACAACAGTGCATCGAGACAGGCTGGTGCCACGGTTCCGAAAGTTCTCAGTTGG